GTTCAGACGTGTGCTCTTCCGATCTCCCCAAAACCCCAAAACCCCAAAACCCCACCAGTCTAGGATATCTCATAAACATGTGATTCGAAAATAAGCATAATAATTTATATTTTATTGAAATGAATACCCTCCATCACTTCGTATTCGGTCTCAGAAGCTACTACAGATAGCAACTGCTGAAATCTTACACCTAGCTTTATTAAAGATTCGTAAGAACATTCTAAAAATTGTTTAAACGCAATGTTTAGAAGTTTGGCAACTCAAAAACTCTATAAAGAAGGCTCAACTACCTGCGATGACAGCGATTGTTTCAATACTACAGGCCTGTACAAAAGGTGTTTAACATCAGCTATTTGAATTATTACTCTCGATATTTAAATTAGTAACCCTATCTTCAGTCATAATTTAGTCTAGAAACTATAAAATTTGGATTTATTGAGGATGAAAAACAAAAGAAACGGGATTCTATGTTGGAGTCTACCTGTGATGATGACTTGAGTTAAAAAGAATTCATATATGAAGGTATCCTAGGCATACTAGACTAAGTAAAGGGCTTCAAAGAGTTCTGCGGACTCAGATTAGAACTGAATTTCTAGCACACAGCTGAGACAGCCTTTTCTAGGCCAATTTAAAATGTTGAAGATGAATCTATTTACAGTTCTCATTACTCTAGTGATGAGTTCTCAGAAGTTTAAAGCGAAGTAGAGGTTTAATCAGAGGAGTATTCTGATGAATAGCATAGTTTTATGGAAAAGTAGCAGTAAGTTATACAGTCTAAATTGGACAGAAAACTGGACTTCACAATGGTCAATAGTGAATTTGAGAGTTATGAAGAAGTAGATCCTCTTCGAAGAAATGTAAGTTCTAACTTCAGGATCTCACTCGCTAATATTCATCCATGAATTCAATGATAAGACAAAATTGCCTTTTAATAGGAATAAACGTATCAGAATATTAGATAAATGATTATATGTATATTAAAGTGATTTAAGTTTAATTGGAAGTATTAAATCAATAAATTGGATTTATCTATAATAATAATTAATTATGCAATTGTCTAAAAAGGTTCTTTCTCTTTTGGTGCTGCTAGGATTAGCAGTAGGCTAAGAGGGTACTATTAAGATCAACCAGAATTCGAGGTTTATGGTTGACAAGCATGGAAGGTCTACGATATTCCATGGAGTTAACGTAGTTTACAAAGTTGATCCTTACATCCCTATTGAGGATAAATTTGAACCTTAGCTTTCACTGAATGACAAGGATATTGACGATCTTGTAAGCTGGGGTTTCAATTTAGTCAGACTCGGAGTCATGTGGGAATCAGTCGAAAGAGCCCCCGGAGTCTACGACTATGGATATCTAAAGAAGGTCAACGACTTGATTAATAAACTAGGAGCAAAGGGAATTTACACACTTGTGGATGGTCATTAGGATGTACTCGCCAGATCACTTTGCGGTGAGGGAATCCCAACATTCCATATTCCCTTCGAATCTCTAAATCACACTTGCCCAGGCACTATTATCCCCTGGATTGCTGATATATTTGGAGCTTGCAAATCAATTTCAGACTATGGATTTAGATATGATAGCAATGGATGGCCTTTAATCGAGGACTGTACAAAACATGGATTCCCTATTTATTACACAGCTCCAGAGACAGTTCACGCATTCCAAAAGCTCTATGACAACATTGATGGACTTCAAGATAAATTCATGGCTTTCTGGGATGTTGTCGCAGAGGCATTCGCTGATAACCAATATGTCATTGGATACGATCCATTAAATGAACCTTTCCCCTCAAACTACTACTTAGATCCAATGCTCATTCTGTCACCAGGTAAGTTCGACAGAGAAAAGCTGCAACCACTCTACAAGAGAGCCTTTGATATTTATCAAAAGCACGACTCCTCAAAGATAATGTACTATGAAGCAGCTGAATTCCCAGATGAGGTTGGAGTTGCTGGAGGCTTTGTCTTTAACCTTGGATTTACTGAAGCACCAGGTGGATCTGATAAAGTTGGTGTCTAAGTTTTGAATGATCATTCATATTGTTGCTAGTTGTCAGCTGATATGTGCTCCACTGGAGAACCCCCACTTTCATCAGCTCAATAATGTCTTGCATGGCACAAAAAGAGAATAGGCACTAGAGCTCAAGATGCAGAGAGATACAAAGTACCTCTCATCATTACTGAGTTTGGAGCTTGCACAGGAAGTGATGCTTGTGTCTAAGAAATCAATGCAGTCACTGATACTTGTGACTAAAATTTAGTTGGCTGGGCTTACTGGGAATTCAAGAAGTATAAAGATGTCACTACAACAGCTGGATCCTCCTCAGAAGGCTTCTACGATGATGATGGTACTCTTCAAACAAAGAAAGTTAAAGCTCTCGCTAGAACTTACCCTAAAGCAGTTCAAGGAGTTCCAATTGGTTTGAGATTTGATACTACCTCTGGAAACTTTGGATTTGAATATGTTCACGACATGAATATCACAGCACCTACTGTTATATATCACAGTGCTGAATTTTACTATTCTTCTGGCTTGGATATTCAAGTGACAGATGCAAATGATGTTTCAATCCCATAATCATCAATGACTGTATTGGTTAATAATAACTCTGCTAATCATATTCAAATTCTAATTGAAGACCCAACTTATCATGGTAAAGCTATTAAAGTTCAAATCACTCCAAAGAGCAAGACCTTTATCCAATGATATTTATAAATCAAAATTCAATGCAATTTCTTTCAAATCTTATATAATTTTGCCTCTCGGGGTTTTGGGGTTTTGGGGTTTTGGGG